CCCTTCATCCCCTTCATCAGCCTATGCTCACCTACCCCTAACTCTCTTCCCCTTTCTCACTCTATCCATCTTTTCGTCCCTGTCTCTCTGTCTATCTTTCCTTCCATTCGTCTTAGCCGTTCTCTCTCCGCGATTCGACTCCCACTTCTGTTCGCGGAGCTAGTTTTCCAGTATCCCTCCCTCTCTGCATAGCCGCGCGGCTTCCGGGCCAGGGGTGTGTCTACGATAAGATGCAAGCACACCGCCGCACCTGTGCACCTGCAACACACCGAGCGATGCCCCGCGTCGTGCACACTGGAGGCCAGGGGCCGCGGGAGAAATATCTCGCAGGGATTTCGATCGATTCCACTCGGCTGGTGATTCTTTCGGTCGGATTTTCTGTCCTCTCGAACTGCAGATATTTGAATTCTTCTATGTTCGCTTAATGATCTTACTCTCCCTGCCTATTTCTTGGAGAACGTGAATGGAGATAGACAATGGTGAAAGTGATTTTTGGTACCAATTGGTGATACGAGTTCAGAGGAGCTGTTAGCTTGTTAGTTCTTCAGCAATAACTGTTAAGAGAAATGTTTTGCTGTACACAGTACTTATTTTCTAAGCCTCTGAGGACGAATAACGCCAATACGGTAATATTTTTGTATGTAGAATCAAAAGATGCGATAAGATATTATTTCATTATTTAAGCAACAAAAGATCGGTGCATAAATATTCTCTTTTCTACCATTTAAGGGTCTAATGTAGAATTTAGTTTTCTAAGGAAGTTTATGTTATGAAGTAATGTTTTTAAAAATTCTCGTGCGCAAATGGTTAATGTAAAAAAATGTAAATGAAGATGAAATAATAATTATTGTTGGCTGAGCATGAAAAAAATGATATTGTAGCCGCATTAAAAAACGAAAATTGTTTAGTCATAAGAATGCCTTTTTATGAGAGACATGAAATGTTTTAGTGCAATTGTATGTAGATCTTCATATTAATACAATTTTTATATGAATCTTTCTACAAGCTTTGTAACTGAGTTTACATGTTTTAAATATTAAATATGAGTAAATTAACTACTATAGAATAATTTATAGTTTAATACTACTTAATACTACTCAGAATAATTTATAGTATAATAAATAATTAATACGAACATAAATACATAATTATATAAACTGATTCGTTATGAAAGTATGAACAAAACATGGATATTTAGTTACATGTTGTTTAAAATTTACAGACTTTTTCATGTTAATAAAATTTTATACAATTTTGTTTTTGGTTAATTTAATTCATATAGCAATGATTATACTATTTGTACATATAGAATAAAATAGGTGGGTTCATAATCTCTTTCCATTCAATATATCTAATCCTACTCCTTTTACTACATTTAAACTATTTTCGCACTGTATTCTGTTACCTAATATAATTTTAATCGTATTTAACTGTAGATAATTTATTATCAAAACTTAATGACCGTTAAATACTATTAGATAAACTTTGTTTCTTTGTTTTCTCGTATTCAGAACACTAGGAGAGTGTATACAGATACTGTGGATGTTGATGCTGCAACGGTTAGAGGGTTCTGGTTTCTGCTGCATTAGAGAGTAAAAATGCGTAACATTTATATATCCTATTTTCAGTGTAATTACTTCTGTTTACCCTTTTTTTGTGTACCATATGCAGACAGATGTATTCATTTTTCTATACTATTTTTCATTCTTCTTATTATTATCTCGTTGTGACTTTTATTTTCCATGTATTGTTAGTTGAGGTCGTTCACTCACTCAATGAATTGCAACTAGATACTAATAAAATTCCAAAATGAAATAAAAGTATGGTGTACGTACGAGTATATTGTTGACGTAGTTATTGAAATTTATTCAAATTTCATTTATTTGTTACTTGTTAATTTTATTTCTTGTATACAATTTATTCCATTACATGTTACAATAGTTCTATTACACATTACAATAAAAAATGTAGAATATTACAAATAACAAAAATAAAATGGTTTAGATTACTTAAATAACAAAGAATCCAGTTAAATTAGAGTGTTTAATACAGCTGTATAATTCCACTGAAAAGATTTAAGTAAACACATTTAGAGTACGTAGAAATTACTTCGCACTAATTAAAAATTTATTAGTCTAAATATAAAACGACAATCTTATTTAGCTTTCTCACAATTTTCATTTCACAATTTTCATTTTTTGTAAATTCGTGCATAAAATGAAATCATAGTTTTTGGCAGCTGTGTCCAGTAAGAGAAGCGACTTAAAGGAAATGAGAAAACTGTTTAGTAGATCTTTCCAGCGACTTTAATAGTTGTCCAGCATTTGTAACGGATTGCATGCAATAACAGGTTGATTATATCTTTGGTGACTGTCCCGTATCAGTTCCGGTTTCCGGTGCATAGATTGCATTAATGATCATCGTTTTAACGTATTTCAAGTGAACGATGTCTCCATATCTGTTTTTCTTTTCAATTCGGTGCTTATTTCTCCTTTCATTCCGCAAAGGCGTTCCATTTGTCAAACGACGCGTTGAATGCACGCACCGAGATACATACTTTGCATTCAATTAAATCAAACAGCAAAAGTCGTTTAACCCAGATTGCCGGCGACGTTATTGATATCGATTTATGCGAATCGAAAAAAAGCTGATCAGCGTAGATCGGTCAGATTAATCTCGACCGAGCTCCGATAGCGCCGCGGTATTAAATTAGATAATCCTAGGATTAGGCACAGTGCTCGTCGGTTAATCCGTTAATCACGTGACAGATGCCATTCAGCGGTCTATCCTATGACAGCGATGTTGCGATTTATATTTTTTTCACCTCCCCACCATACCACCGCTGTCGTTGATTCAATTTATTCTCAGCTTACCAAAATACCTTGTTTTAAGTTAACGGGAACAAATATGGCATACATAAATATTTGCGATCGATACGATGAATTTTAATGGTTTGTTATTCCTATAAGCCTTTTTTATTCTTTTTTTTCCCGATAAGTATACGCGTTTTGACTACAAACGAGATTATGGGAACACGTGATGTGTTTATATGGTAACTCCTTGATTCACATCTCGTTGAAGCCAGCCGAAAGTCTTCTTTCGGACAAATTTCCTGTGACAGATTGAGAAAAACCGGAGATTTCGTTCGCTGATACATCATTCCACACTTTTCAAATCCGATTGACGACACGGATTTCGCGAATCAAAGCAAACGTGTTGTCTTTGGTGATATGGAAATTCCTGATCTCTTATACGTACCTCACTGTTCAAGGTTAAGGTTCACTTATTTGATAAGAAGAAAATTTGTATCTTTTATGAAATTGGAATTATCAATAGCATTATTGTTTAAAAATATTGTTTCACGCTAGTTTGCATTTCTTTCATGGAAATAATTTTCTCTATTTCTCATGATTAGTTTATCATGGGAAAGTAATTAATTAAGGGAGGAAGAATTATACCTGTCACTATACAATAAGATAACTTTAAATAGAAAATTGGAACATACTACTTTTTATTTCATTTTGTTTTGTAAGTTGTGTATATTTGTAGTAATGTTAAATTCTTGCACGACAGTGTACAAAGATTTCATATTGTTGATAATAAATCATTGATAATGAATTATTTTTCGGATCTTTTGTTATTTTTTATGTTCATAAGAATTAACGCACAAGATATGGATTAAGATAATCTTCGTATGTTTAATGATGTTTAGAACATCGTATTTTTCTGGAAAACAACTAACAGTAAGTATGAAAGTAGATGACAGTAAAAATAAAAATGAAATTTTATAATACTCAGAAATTTAACAGTAAACATAATGTATATAGCTTTCTGTGTTTGAAGAGTGAAATGCTTTGAATCACTACAGGTATGCAGTTCTTGAATATGAAAGAGTCAGTTTGTTATACTGGAAGTAGTTCTGTGTCAAAATATACATAAATGTATTTCAAATAGCAGTGCATTAAAGTGCCTAAATATAATAGTAGAGTTAAACCATAAATTATTAATGCGAATTATTTATAATATTTTTCAAAAACAATGAAAAATTAATTTTTCATTTTATACTTAAAATAACTGATATTTCGTCTATCAAATCATTTACTAAACCATTGGCAGAACTCACATTTTATTATCGAAACCGTATTTATTCTATTCTAAACTGTAAAAAGTATAATAAATTATTGGCACCAACATTTTGAAAATTAATTTAAAAAATGCGTAGTATTAGAAGACATCGTTGAGCAATAAAATATATTAAAATCTTTAATCATTCTCCATGCTTTCTTTTCATTTCAAGGCAGCGTATTGATTTCGACAATCCTGAACAACTTACATTTATAAACGTACACCAAGGACTAAGATTAATAACGAACATAGAAACACCAACCTGGCTTTATTATCAACGATTTTAATACGAATCCTCTACTCAGCTATAACGACTCAGAAAAAAGAAAAACTTGTGAAGACTGTACAATGAATATAACAATGAGTTATCCACTTTACCTCAACAGAAAGGAAAACATCCCAATAAAATTTCCTATTTTATACAGTTTTTTTGTCCCATGAAATCACGGCATTTATAAAAAAGGCTCAGAAAACAATTGCGTAAACATCGAAAAGAGACGGCGATCCACGCGTTCACATCCAGACACAAAAGAAGAAGCTATCCGATCTCCGTCAATTCCAGGTCTAGTTTCTCGAGCCAGCCTGCGCATCTCCATTCCGTTCTCTATGGCTACCCAGCGTCCCTTATCGCGAGCGCTGAAGCCAATAAAGCATCTACGAGGCTTTATCTTAAATTTTCCCAACCCCCGTCCGAACGGCGCACTCTTCTAACCAGCCATCCTCA